TTTTTTACGCCGACTTTTACGAGTCAGCCTTCACGTTAAGCAGTCTGTTAAGCCGTTAGGCTAAATTTAATTCCACTTAATTTTAAATTACTCGTTACGTTTTTGAGATAAACCAAAAGTGCTGGCACCTTTTGGCGGTGTGAACTTTAGGTGTGAACTTTAATTTAAGTTAATAAAGTGTTCTTTAGATACTTTTCCGGACTTTATCGGGGTTTAGACTAAATAAGAGATAATTCTCTATACAGACTAGCTAGTTCACACTCCCAAAGTATACAATACGTTATATGGTTATTCTGTAGATCTCGTTTAAGCATATATATCATTTTTATTAAAAAAACAGTTGATACTTTAAACCGTCTAGGTAAACATACATCGTACAAATGAATATTATTTTTCGACATATGAATCTAAAACTTATACAGAGGTAATAGAGTAAAAAGTGAAAGCATTTACATTTTAACCCCACCGATCGTATAGTTTTCCAGAAAAAAAAAAATAGTGCCTTTTTTAATGCAAGAAAATTGTTTAAAAAGTATACGAGCAATAAATGTATTCATTTTTAATTTCTGGACTTTTTCCTTAAAATCAGGAAAATATGTAAAATAATAAATAAAAATTTTCCCGACTATAAGAAGTGCATAGTTTTTTTTTTTTTTTTTTTCCTTTTTTTGTTTGAACACTTCAGTCCAGAGATGTCACAAGAACGAGAAATAAAAGAGGAAACCTCACTCCGTAATTTTGAAGGGACGAGAAGGAAGGAGATAAATTGCACTTTGAAAACATACTAATTTGCAATGGCATGCTATGAGCGTTCAGTACCACTTCTTACATTCTGACAGGCAGAATCTGATAACTCTTAGATCTCAACAGAAAAAAATCTAATACCATCTCTCTAACAAAAATTTGGGACATTTCATCCTTCTCATTGAACGTTAAAAACTGCTTGAGAGCGTACTCTAAAATGTCCGAGAAATAAACTGCAGAATTTTAATTTGGTTACCGAGATTGGAAACAAAAAATTATATTTCGCTACATTAGCTGCCTTTATAGGAATAAACTATATCATTGAAATGAAGATAGCACTCCTGATTCCTAAGTTCTTCTCAGCATTCGATGTTCCGCTACCACTGGACCTAAGCTTTATGTTTAGAAAACGACAAAACTTTCCAAACTCCAAAACAGATATCGACCGAAAATTTTCTACGGTTGATGCCACATAAATAATTCCTAGCTTTGCCCTCCCCCTGTAGTCTAAAAGTCTGAAAGGTTTCAGATTTTAACGGTCGCCCAAAATGGTTTGTTAAAATTTTCTGCGTTCTCACTGAAGTCGCAGTCTACCGGTCTGCTGGTTAAAAATTATTTATGTTACTTTATCATATTATTATATTGCTATCTCTTTATTATTTACATTTTTTTTTACTCTGTCACATTTTTCTAGTTTTTTCAGCCTTTTCTCAGTTTATGATAACAATGTTCAGTTTTCATAGTAAGATAACTTGCATTTTTTTTTTTTTTTTTCTTATTTTTAGCCGAAAAGACTGTCAGTCCGAATGGTCTATTAGTCTTGAAAAGAGATTTGGCATCTTATCCCTTTTCAAATTGTTGCTATGAAATATTATCTCGCTGTCTTACTTTTAAAGAAATTAAATAATGAAGAACCTGCATGAATGTATGATTGTTTCTCGTGCTGTTAAAAAACGACAGTACTTAGGTACATCAAATGTTGAATAATATGGTCCTCCACCCGAATTTTGCCCGAATAAAGCCCGAATTTTGAATTTTCAATTCTATATTTTGTAAAACTTTTAACAAATCAAATTAAAAAATGAACTTTTAACAAATTTAACGATTTGAAAACGAGCATTGGCAACATTGTACGTTTTAATACATTCTTATCTATAGCGCGACAGACTATTTATTGGAAATTATAAAGATATGCTGTTTTTTTAAGGTTTTGCTATTCAACTGAATTTTATGTGGCGGAAAAACCTGATATTCAATTAATAAATTTAACACAAAAAAATTTAAATAATAAAAAAGACCAGGAAAAAAATCTGAAAGGTTTCAGATTTTAAATTACGTCCAAAGGAGCATTTTTTTAACGTATTGTGTGTTACCTTTATTTATTAAATAACATGTTCCTTGCACTTAAAAAATAAAATTCAGTTCAACAGCAATGTCGCAAAATAATTTTTAAATGAGCATATCTTTAGAATTTCCGATTCACTGTTCCGCGCTCTGAAGATTAAAAGTGGTTTTTCTTTTTTTCACCCGCATAAAATGTTGCCATTGCTGGCTTTTAAATAGTTGAGTGTGTTAATTAAAAATTCGTTAAAGTTTTACAAAAAATTAGATACCAAACAGAAATTGAGAAAGGGGGAGCATAGATATACTGAAGAAGCATTTATGAAATGCTTCGCCATTCAAAGCCGTAATCTGCGAATATGAGGACCAAATGCTTCAGATAAAGGCAAATGAATTCGCCAGATTCTTTGGAAAGACTGAAAAAGAACGAATCATAAATTTAATAACTATGCACAATTATATTAGCAATTAAATTTTAATAGTATTTTTTTAATCTTATTTATTATTCACTTCTTTTAATATATGTGGAAAGTTTTTATTTTAGACTAATGATTTGGATCTTTAGTTTAGCTTTTTCTATCCGTATTCCTCACCAGAATGCAAATTAATTGGTGAGTAATTTAAAACTCAGCAGAATGCAAATTTATTGAATCAGGTTATTAATAATGAGGTTTTTAAATCTTGAGAGTGGAAGGTTACATTTTGCAAGCTGTATCTAGTTAAGACACAATAACACGCCAAACAAATACTAATTCATAAGTCAAACAACAAAAATCAGAGTTATATTTTCAAATTTTCACAGCAACGAAATTCACAGCAATTTTCACAGTTGTGAAAATTTGAAAATGTAACGCTGATTTTTGTTGTTTGACTTCTGAATTAGAATCTGTATCTAGTTGTAATTATCTCGGCTTTGCGTTCGCTCACCGCCGATACTTTAAACTTACGCGCCGTTAAATTATTGAACCAGCTTGTAGTTTAGTTTTTAACTGCGCATAGTCTTAGAGTATTGATCAATGTATAACATTTATTTGACTGTTCTTGATTTACATACACATAAGCTGCGGTTATTTGTAGCACAAAGTCGTGCCTTTATGCTCAAAATTCTATTTAAATAAAAAGGTTGCTTTAAAAACCTTCGTAAAATTTTATAGTATTATTTCAGACCTAGCAAAAGCTCGTTACATGTTTGTTAGGATTATAGAACTAAAGTTTAATACCAGATCAAGTATAACCTTATATATAGTAAATGTGGTAATGTTCGTCAGATTTATCGTTATTCATCATGAAGTTTTTACAGGATTTCATGAGATTATCCATTTTTCATATCAAGTCAGATATGGCGAATCACCGGATATGGCGAAACAAACTTCCGGTCCCTTGAGACTAATTATAGGGATCTTCAAACTAAATTTTAACTCAGACAACACTGAAGAAAATGATTCCTCTGAGGTAAGATCTAATTCAATATTATTTTTCTGATACTGGGGATGGGGGCTTTAGACAAATGCAAGGGAACTTATTTTTTCATTTTTAATGGCAGTGACATTAACTAGTTAATCAATCCTTTGATGCATAAAAGATGAACCCAAGTTAATCAAATTTATTGCGTAATCAGAAAATTATTAGTTTATACTACTTAGCTTAATTTTTTGCCTAATCAGTAAACTATTATTTTAGTGATTAGTTACTTAATAGTTTACTGATTAGTGCAATGTTGGTTAATCAAATTTATTGCATTATCAATAAACTGTTATTTACTGATTAGGCAATAAATTTGATTTAATTGGAGGTATATCAAATTCTTAGCTCAATTCTTTCGAAATTTTTCAGCATTTTCTATCTTCCATCATTGTATTCTGTATAGGGTCCCTTGTGATTACCACCTTCGTTGGTAGTTCGTTAAATTATCAGCTAAGATTGTCTGAAAAAATACAAAATAATCGAAGATATAAAATATTAATGAAATAAGGTAAAACGTATAGCAAGTAGTAAGTAATAAAGAATTCTTCTATAGCTGAAATGCATATTCCATGGAATTTTAAATTAAAGTAAATTCGCACTTTGCACTTTGCAAAAAAAAAAAAATTATAGTCCTATTTTGTTAAAGCTCATAGACCCGAATTCTTTCTTTTATATGCACAAATGAAAGCGAAATATATGGAATATTGTTCTTAATTAACACTAGAGTTATGGTGGTCTTAGTATACCTAGAATTACAACGGGTGTCATTTTTAGCCCTTGATAAGATATCTGCATATTTCTCTATGTGATATAATATATTTGTGAAAAAGAAATTAAAATAACGCAAATTATGACAACTACAGTTTATTTTAAAGAATATAGAGACTTTGAAGGTATGTAATCAAATAATGAACAAGCATTTAAATATTTCCATCGGAAAATGTAATTTTTTTTTCATTTTCTATAGCTTACATTTCAGAAACACAGAAAAAAAAAATGTATACATATTTACGCAATTTTTTTCAAAAAAAGGGGGTTTTAATCCAAAAATTAAAGTATTTTAAAACAAACTTTTTGCTATAAAGAGTACATAGAAATAGAAATATATAGAAATATTTTATTTACAGATAATATATTAGTCAGCGCAGCAATTAGCACACACGCTTATCTTTCTGATTTTTTGTGTACAATATCCACGCATACATATTTATTACAGCTGTCGCAAATATTAGAAGTTTTGATTACCTTTGCATTTCCTTACTTGACATTTCTTCCTTTTTTTTTTTTTTTTTTTTTTTTTTATTCTATTGATCTTGTCTATCCATAAAGCCACTTGAAGAGAGAGCAAATTTGTTTTTACTAGATATATATTCTTCTCTTAGCTCTTCTGCCAAACGCAATAGAAAATCCCTTCTACTGATATTTTCTTTTGTAACTTCCTTATACAGAATTCACACATTTAAGCCTGCTAAGTCCAAAATATTGTAGAATACATGTACTGGCCAACGGCGTGATGGGGCTTTCACGGAGTACTTTCTTGTTTGATTCAAAACATCTACCCCAAATTTTGTAGAATTGTAAAACTGTATTACATCAGTAACCTTCTTTTCATTAGATTCAAATTCAACTGATGAATGGAGTGTACTTAACAAAATTACGTTTTTGTTCCTTTTACTTTGATATGATGTAAGTGTTATATAGTCGTGTTTCATCACAACTGAAGAAAAAATTTCGTTTCTTACATTTTTGAAACTAGAAGGAATTTCTCTTTTTGCGCGATTTACTGTTCCAACATGACTCAATCCTTTTGATTTTAGGGATTTTGCAAGTTTTACTGATGTAAAGAAACTGTCTGTAGTTATATTTCGGCCACTATTTTTGTAAGGATCAACTAAACGATTTACTACGTTCTCTCCTAAACTTGGTCTCATTTTATCTTTTCCTAAATATGGAAATCCGTTTAATAAGTATTTTGTCCTAACGTCTACTGCTAGCCAAAATTTTATTCCGAATTTATCGGGCTTGTTAGGCATATACTGCAAAAAACGGCATCTTGTTTTTGTAGGGAATAACTGTTCATCCATCGTAATGTTTTCATTTGGGTTTGTAGCAAAGCTTACAGTTTCCTATAAAAGTATTCCATACTTCGGATATTAGTGCAAATTTATCACATTGCAAACGTGGAGACCTTGTTAGTTTATTATCAAAACGAAGAAATTTCTTAATTTCCAGAAACCTATCTCTACTTATAGTTTCATGAAAATCTTTAGTCTCCAAGTCTTGGACCACAAACTAAGAATTGGTAAGCCCTTGGCGGCTAATGCCCCCCTTACGTACAACAACGCTATGAATGCTTCCGGTTCTGCTAATAAAATAGTGAAAGAGTCATTATGAAGTTTACGTTTGGCTTCAGCATCAGTACACTCCTTTATGACGCGTGAAATTTTTTCATTTATTATTAACTTCCACGCACTAAGAGCTTTACCAGAACAAATGTGACGTTTAGCATAGGATGTCGGTCCTTCCTTTTTCTCGCAAGATATTTGCAAGGGTCGACCAGAAGTATTTGAAGTATTTTCTACTTTTCATACAGTTCCATCACTAGCAATTTCTTTACAAGTGTTAGTCTGAATTACGTTGAATTTCATATTCTCTTTTGAGCGTCTACTAGTTCCCGCTTTAGCATTCTTAGGTACGGCAGAATTTGAACTCATAGAAACAAATCCATTTGTACTTTCACTTGAGCTAGAAGATGATATTGCCTGAATTACTCTCTATAATAAATTCAGGATCACAAGGTGTTTCATCTCCATCTGTATCTGTAGAATTATTTTCGATTTCAGAACCGGGAATCGGCATCAGATAGTTCTTGCATCAGTTTCACGATTTCTTCATTCGTTAGTCCTTTTTTACACGCCATTGGTACGTCACTATAATAAATTCATGTAAATAGAATAAAATTTTCCCCTAAAACGTGTTATAAATAATAAACAAAATATCTACGAAAAATCTACAAACATTGAGCTCAACGTTCAGCTCGTAATAATCTCTTTTCTCTGATTTCTTTCCACAAAGAAAAGTATTGCACAGATTTCAAATCATGTGACTGGCAGATGTGAAACTACGCAAACCCAACATATTCTTTTCCTTTGTTTGTATTTTGTTTAGCAGGTGCAAATAAAAGTAGCTTACAGAAGTAAACAGTGTTCAGATAATACAATGGAATGTATTCACATTTCATTTCTCTCAAAGGGGTCAAAATGACACCTGCCGTATTTCTAGGTATAATCGTTTGTTAGGGCTAAAATAAAAATGCGATTTTCTTTATATCTTTACTGTTTCGTAAATCACAATGATTTAGGAAAAGTCAAGAAAATATTAAGATATTTGCGAAAAAAAAAAGAACTGTCAGAGATAAAAGTCCGCTAGGTGTCAAAATGACCCCTTCCGTAATTCTAGTGTTAAAAGATACACCAATAGTATTTATGAATTGTCATTAAATCGTTTAATAAAACAGAGATTCCTCTACCTATTTCAGAAATTTTGGGGAGGATTTTTATTTTTTTAGCCAAAGAAACATGAATAGCAGCATTTCACTGTGAGAAATTAAACGCCTATCTTTTATGTGCTCTTGCGGTACCATGGCAGTACCTATAGTTAGTTGCAGAAGGCTTGGATCGAGTTCTCGATCAGCAACATAAAATTTCAAGATCCTTTGATAATTTCATGCATTACAGAATTTCTTTATGCATAGATGAATCATAAGTTTCTTTTTTCCCTTTGCCACTATACACTTCTCTATATATTTGCTAAGATGAAAGCAAAACTGAATTATATGAGATTCTTCTCAAGTAATATTTTCGAGAATTAATTGAGCTTAGAAGCAAGATATAAATAATCTGTATTATTCTTCACAGGCATAGCTAAACCTAAACAGACTATTCATTTGAGTAAAACAACTTAAAAGTTTTGTTCAGACCTAGTAGCATTTGTTCCTCTAAACATTTCTATATCTTTACAAAACCGCCGGTAGTTTTTCGCAAATCGTTGTTACAACACATGCTACACTTTACTGAACTTTCAAAATAAGCATTTATGCCTTGAACGAAGCAGTGAGAATACGCCCAAAAGAGCGAAAATATTTAAAAACAGCATATCTTTGGATTTTTTGATAGATATTCTCGCGCTCTGTAGATAAAAACATTTCATTCCCTACAGTGTTGCCACCGCTCGCTTGGAAATCGTTGAGTTATTTTAATCCAAAATTCGTTAAAATGTTCTACGAAATTGAAAATGCATTATGAAACGAATTCCAGATTCGAGTTTCTAGGTGCTCATATTCGGGTAGAGGGCTACGTTATTCAAAATCTGATGGCTCTAGGTACCGTTTTTTTTCCACAATGCGAGAAACTTATCTGATTATACGCAATGTATCCTGTTTGTATTCGGCAGTTGAGGTTCTATTATACTCAAATAGTTTTTGTTGAACCACAACAATCATACTGCTGTGTTAAAAAAGAATTTAAAAAAAATTACTGTCTTTAAAATAAATATTTTGTATTTGTATTTTTTGTAATATTTGTATTATACATACCATTTGGTATGTATAATAGTGTATATGCTTCAGTGGATATATGCTTGTAATAAGACACAACCCATCATTTCCCATCGATGTTCTTTCAGATACCCGAGTAGAATTTCCCACACAAAAGCAGCAAATAAGGCTCATCAAAGTCGACGTTAGAGTAGAATCTCTGTCATATCATTTTTTGTTCGAGGCACCCTTCCCTCATCCCTCTGTCGCGCTCATATCACCAACATATAGCACCCATCGCCTCTTCAGTGAACCGTATAATCGTGTACCGAGCGCCCAAACGGAAGGACTAATTGTATTACGCCTCACAAAGAGTATTTTTCTTGTCCATTTACTAGAGGCATGGCCTCCCTAATTCGGCCTATTAGGTAGCCTAATGGGGAGGGAGCTTCTGTTCTGAAGGGGGCAAGTCATTCATCGCCTTGTCCACCTGGCTGGGAGGTCGCGGAGCCCTCAAAGGGAACGGGGCAGCTTCCCAGTAGTCCACAGACTCTTGTCGTTTCTCTTGTCGTTTGCTAGTAAAATGAAGAATAGATCTGAACAGTATTTGGCAGTTTATCGCTCCTACAAACTTTGTTGCATTTACGAATTAAGAGAATTTACTACTCAAGCAAAAATATAGAACACAAACCACATCCAAGACACAAATAGCCCAGAGCATTTAAGTCCTAATTATGCAAATGCAATAATTCACTTAGGTCTTGATCAATATCTCTACTGGATGGATGCATGAATATCAACTACCAGATTGACATATTTAACAGGTTACTTACACTGACATATCAGTACTTGATGCTTTAGTTCGCATGAAGCTTCACCAGGAGATATAAAATTCATATGGTGCAATTTGTTTCTTATTATCGTTATGTATTTCTCTAATAGGAAGAAAACACGCCTCGCATCTCACTTCTTGTTCGTTATGCCATACATATAGCGCATATTGCTTGCCCGAAATAAAAGAAATAATAATTAAAAAAAATTGAATTAAGTTTTTTTTTTTTTTTTTTTTTTTTTTTTTTTCGTAACTGTTTTTTCACTACCTCAAACACCTCAAAGTCGCAAAGCTACAGATAAAATCATCACAAGCTGAATCATATCTGCATCTACAGAATGGAATGGTGATGTTAACAGCTGCGAGGAAAAAATTCAAATGACAACTTATTTTCAGATAAATCATGGCAAAGTTAAACATTTGAAGTTCTTAGAAGTATCAGAATATATATTTTAGTATTTTATTTAAATGCTAAACAAATAAATTATTAAATTTATTTAGTTAGTTCTTTTTAGAATTTTATTCAGTATAACTTTTTTTAGTATAAAATATTAAAATAAATAAATATTTTAGTATTTTACAAACTCATCAAATGCATGGATATGCTGAGTATTTAACTCTTCATAAATAGAAAAGCTATAAAACGCGTAACATGAACATGTGCTTCCCTAAGCTTGCTCCGATTTCTCAAAAAGACGAAAATGTCTGAGAAATTCGTCCTTATCGCAGGCAACTAAAATTCTCTTGCTAAACTTATTTATACATTTCGTAGTTTTCCATCATCTGAATTGTGGATACGAGCCAGTTTTCCTTAGTAAGTCATCCACGAAGGCATCCCTCACCTTGGTTAGATAACTCAAGCGTGCTTTACCAGTCGTAAGTAAACCAGTCGAAACTTAATTTACTCTTTTTACAGTTTGGGTTAATTTATTTAATTATGGCAAAGCATTCAAGGGCTATCTGCCTAACTGGAAGAAATTTCTAAGAGAAACTAGCTCATATATAGATTACATATGGGGAAAACACACATGCATTCAGCCCGTTCGTTAGGATTGAAACAGCGAAGAGACTTTGCTGGTGACTCTCACCCGCTGGTGGGTTACGTTTCTTAGTTCGCTTTGTGGCTTAAAGATTTTAGAAACTGTGAATTTACACTGCAGCAAAAATGACGGCAATATTCGATACCTTTGCTTCCGGCTCATTTCAGATGAGGTACGTTTCCCGCAGTCTTTCCATAATCACATATCGTTCTATATAAATCAGTTTTATTTCATTTTCCCTACTCAGCATGCAATCAAACAAATTTGGTGCCGAATCTAAAAAAATGAAATGGCATTTAATTTGATAGCAAAAAAAATATGTTTGTTAAATGAAACAGGATAAATCTGCAATTATACGTGTCACTTATTCTTTTGTTTTATATTTTCCTCTAGAAATTTAGCATTTAAAACGTATGTTTTCACAGTCGAAATTAATTCATGAATTTTTTTCACAAGTCACATCTTTGTTATTAATGGGAATTCTGTAAGAAGAGAAGAAATATGAATACAAGAAATTCCATAAATTAAGAATAAATAATGAAATATATGGAAAAATATTCTAAGAAACATTTTTTTCATTTGGAATATTTCCAAGAATAAAATTCAGATAGATATTTGTAGAAAGATGCCATTTGAAGCGCATTGAATCAAAATAAAGCCGTACACGAAGATGACGGT